CGTGAAGATATTCTGTGCAATAAAACGGGTGACAATATGAAATATCGAATCTTGTGTTTACGGGGATAAAAGTCGTGGGAGGATCGAGGCAAACGGTAATGAAGTATGAAGCGGGAGGCTTCATTCGAAGGAGGAGTTTTTTTTAGGGGGTTGGAGATCACCAACAGTGTGTAGCACAGACGTCATAGCGAACACAGGTCCATGCTGTTTCGATGGCGCCCCGGTGCAACGCGATCCCCCCCCCGTATCTACAACTGTTGCGAACCGAGGATCTGGTGGTGTATGCAATTGGGTGGAAAGGGTTGTGCGAGGGGCTCCAGAGTCTGCCGCGAGTAAAGAATAGAGGAGGACACACACACGACACGGGCAAAGCGCTCACACCTATTATCCTTCAGATGTGTCGGATACTTCACACTCTTACCACACGAGTTGTTCTGGCCACGCACATGCAGCTGCTGTCCTGCTGTCAGCAAGTAGTGTGGAGGTTCTCGTCCAGCATCGGCCCAAGTCCTGAACCGCACCACAAGTACTTCCGCCGGTGCCAGAAGATTCATCTGCAGCAGAGTCCTTGGTTGGTTGGTTCACGAAGAAGTATTTCCCACCGTTCATTCGAATGAAAAAAAACAACAGTCCTCTCCCTCGAGGAGGGCTTCGCCGAAGGAGATTCGGTCGGGGACACGCGTTCCCTTGAAGAGGTAATCGAACAGGGCGAGTATGGAATGGCCACGCTGAGTGACTGCGAGAGCAAGAAGCGACGGCTGGCGGCACCGTCGGACCCCCGAGCGATAGAAAGTGATGAAGCTTGTAAGGTATTTCGTTGTTTGCCTGGACGTGTTCTACAATTGTTATGATGTGGTGGGAGCGGCGGTGGAACTTTTTGCTTATTGATCCCATACCCCTTAGTTGCTGGGAACATATTTCGTGTTTTGTGCTTTCCTTAGATTCAGAACAGCAGCGGGATATATGTACTGCTGTGAGACGAACAACTTGGGAAGTGATTTTCACGCGTGTCGGAGTGTCTGCAAGAAATTCCACCGAACCTACACATCATGAGTATTGAAAGTTTATACAGGACGGTGGCGCACGGGGATCATTAGATTTGATGGAACAGGAAAGCAAGATTGGAAACTGCAGTTGAAACAGTGACAACAATTGATAATGCCACCGCTGTAGGTGATAAGGCGAGAAGCTCATCTTGACATTGGAACAACATGGACATCCAGCACTTTCAAACAAAAAAACGTTGAATGTTTGTTAACCAGCGGCATAACTCGTCGCGAAATTCCGAACTGCTGGAGTCAAACAAGACGGCACGAACCTGGCTCAAATAGCAACACTCACCCGTCCGAACACCACCACACCGTGAACCAAACCACGCGATCCAGATGTCTCATGAGGAATTTCCTTGGCCATTCGCACGGACTATACTGGGCCCACCTCGCTAAGGGCATGTATGCCAGGCAGCTGGAGCGCTGGTTCACTCTCGTTGGGCGAGAAAACATCAAGGCCAGAAACCGTTTTCTACAAAGGATCATCACTTAGTCACGGCCTGTACCGGATTAGAACAGATCCTGGTAGGGCCATCTGGGAGCGGGAGTGAGAGCGTGATGTAGGGGTCGAAGGAATGATAAATGAATCGAACGTTCCGGGCGCTCGCTGAGGAGTCCCTGTCGTCGGTAGAATTTTCTTGTCTGTTGCTTCACACAATCTGTTAGCCTTTTGTGGGCAGTATTGCAAGATGTTACGGTATTTGGGAAAGAGGTCCGAATGAGAGAGAGAGAGAGAGAGAGAGAGAGAGAGAGAGAGAGAGAGAGAGA